CAGATGTTCTTTTGGGTCGTCTCTCTGATTAAACTCGTCTCCATAGTTCACCAGTCTCCTTCGCAACCGTTCTTTGAAGAGGAGACTTGGGTGATGACACAAGAAAATGACTGCATTGGAGACTAATAGACTAATAGTTAACTGAATCGTACGAAGTGCTCCACTTTGGTAACATAGTCTGCAACTTCAATAATTTAATCCAAAGGTAAACATTCGAACGCACTTCCCTTATTATTGCTAGCTTTTAAAAAATTGTCAACACTACCCCACCCTTTACACAAAGTACTTCAGTACCTCCTGAGATTCACTTTTAATATTCTTGCCTTCAGTCTTTAGTAAATATTTCCAGCAAAGTGGAATTGTACAACTTACACCGTTATGAAAAAAGTATAAATAAAAATAGACTGAAAAAAAATAAACAACGACCTCACAAAACTTGGCTTTCAAGTCAAGATGTAAGAGGACAGAAAATAATATGACATTCTCCTTACTGGTCTCACTAATAACTACATTTTTTTTACTACCAGTGGTATTTTAGACTGAACAGGTTATCCATACATCAGCTGAAGGCAAAGTTGGCATTTAGAAGCTGTTTCAACTTTTTTCATGACTTGTATGCATTAATTCTGGGTGAGAACTGCGACTTTTGATAAAAATCTTTGGTCAATTCTCCCTGAGATGCACAACACTGACAGAAAGTTGTTCACCTTGTTCAGAAAGTATCAACTCAACATTCCCAATTTAGAGAAGTGTCCATTACAAGATAGCTGGCTGCCTTTTTTGAGTTTCATCGTCTCTGCCTTTTTTAAGCTCGGTCATCTCAGAGAATTCCCAAGCAGGCACATTCTAGTGGCTACAGTATTTATCAAGTCAAATTAGTGGCTACTATAGAGATTTGAGAATAATGAAATAATAGAATGCTTTAGGTGTTCAATACAACTATGGTGGAGTTAACTCTTCCACTCCTAACAGTGGGTTAAGTGAAAGTTCACAAAAAAGCTACTTTCCTTTTAATTAGTAAAATCCACAGAAATAACAAAGATTTTCCAGGGACAGGGCTGTCACTAAGGTTTCAAGTTCTGGGGTATATGCTCTTATTTTTTTACTAGGCAAAGGAATTGACTAACAGTTATGAAGTCTTTAGGTTCTGTTTTCCTTTTCTTTGCTATGAAAGTAGCCAAGAGTCATGCTCTGCCCTTAATGACAGCCCTACAAAAAAGGTTTCATTTAAATAGTAACACGATAGGACTCTGTCCACACATGCAAAAGTTATCTTGACAAATCATCTCACAACTCACTCATGCAGTGATTGTGAAAGGGTCAATAAAAAATAATGATCTATGATGGATGATAAAATTTGTTGATTATTGTCTTGATTTGAGACTGTCCACTAACCTAAAAGAAAAATGAAACAAAACAAAAAATTAAAAGGCAAAATTTTAAATAAGCAGCGATAGTTAATTATATGACTTCTAGCAGACCCTTTGAGCCTGATTCTCACATAACTGTGACAAAGTAAAAGCAATAATATTAAAAAAAAAAAAACTATCAAAGGTAGAGGGCAAGGAAGAAAAATCGGTACAAAATAAGCAATAATTCCTAAGTTTTGACTCCAATAAACTAAAAAATTCCTCACTCCTTAAAATGTCTTCAATTAAGGTGGTAGAAGCTTTCGAGTCTGCAGTGGATGAAATCCTAAAGTGTGACCATTCAAATGATTTAGCTTCTGAGCAATACTTTCCTGTGGTATTGCTTATTATGCTGCACAAGGTTGTTCTAACTATTGAGTCTTTGGATGAAATCCTCAAGTGTGACCATTCAAATGAAAGCTACTGAGCAGTACTTTCCTGTGGTACTGTTTATTACGCTGTACAAGGTGGTTCTAACTATTGCGTCTGTGGATGAAATCCTCAAGTGTGACCATTCAAATGAAAGCTACTGAGCAGTACTTTCCTGTGGTACTGTTAATTATGCTGTACAAGGTGGTTCTAACTATTGCGTCTGTGGATGAAATCCTAAAGTTTGACCATTCAAATGAAAGCTACTGAGCAGTACTTTCTTGTGGTACTGTTTATTATACTGCACAAGGTGGTTCATTGCGTCTGTGGATGAAATCCTAAAGTGTGACCATTCAAATGAAAGCTACTGAGCAGTACTTTCCTGTGGTACAGTTTATTATGTTATACAAGACGGTTCTAACTATTGTATCTGTAGATGAAATCCTAAAGTGTGACCATTCAAATGAAATCTATTGACCAGTACTTTCAGAAGGTACTATTCATTTTTCAGCAACTTCCCACAAAAAATGGAATTTTTGTTAAATCCTGACCCTGGCCACTTCTGGAAGTGAAAAGTTTAACTAGATTAGATGTACCTAAGGAAAGAAGCTCATTACAAACATTTTCACTTTTAAACTAAATAAGGCAACATGTTATTGAAAACCAACCTATTTGCTGTATATTCACATCTTCCCAAGCCTACAAATGAATTTAAAACTCACCATTCCATTGCTTCATCAAGACCTTCTCCCTTGGTTGCAGAGGTTTTAAATATGGACCATGTTCGGCTCTTCAGCGCAGAAAGACCAAGTGCATTAGATACTTCAGAAGCTGACATGGCACCTTCCATATCCTTCGTGATAAGAAAAAAAAATCTCACTAATGAAATCCTCAAACTTTCTCCGACCTGCACACTAGCCTTAACATTCTCCATTTTGACCAGAGTTTAAAATCACTAGCTCTTACCTGTTTATTGGCAAAAACCACTAGAATTGCTTTTTTAAGTTCATCTTCCTGTGAAAGACAAATGATGAAAATATGATCAATGTACCAACAATTTTTACATCTAACTTTACAAAGTTAGGTGACAATTAATCTGATCAGTGACTTTAAGTGTTTACTATTTTACTGTCTAGTTGAACAAGCAACTTTAGGTAGTGTGGTCTGAAAATTTAGTCTCAGTGGATTCTTGTGGGGTTGCAAACAAAGACAGACTTCTTTGAGAAGCATGGTGGAACTTTAGGTTTTTAGGCATTATCAATACAACATTTATCATAAATGTTGAATCAACAGTACATTTTTGCTGTTAATCAGTTCTAGAGTGCATGTGGTTCGTAAAGGTTATTCACGAAATTCCATCAAATTGTTTGATATTTGTCTTTGTGGCAAATTCCAGTTGGCAGTAACGATATACTCATGGTGACTACCTTCAGTTTTTGTGGCAGAAAGAGGCAGGGAGGAGGGTGTAGAAAACAGCAGTTTGTCTTTCTGACAAAAGGTTTTGGAGGCAGCCATTTTTCAGGGGTATAAACTCAAACTTAAGACCTAATCTGCAGGGCTTCTGATATTTCGCGCGGTCGCGGACCCGCGAAATTCAGGTATTTCCGCGAAATCCCGCGAAATTACCCCAAAAACGCGAAATACCGCGAAATCCGCCACAAATATTTCCAAATACTTGTCGGCAAAACATATTTAATACTTATCTTGGCCATTAGACCTGTTTTATTCACCCTAAACATCCAAATTTATCTTGAATCTTCGTCAATGCAACGAATAAACAACGTCCCAAAACTACCAGGCGTTCTTAGATTAATGTTGCGAAAAACTGGGCACTAACCATAATGTTAATAGCTTTAGCATTCGCTCAATTCTCGAGCAAACTGTTGTTGAAAGAGCAAATGATTATCCCTGTTAAAAAAACAACGTTAAACAACGCTGGTCATATCGATGCAGAATTATTGATCGATTTTAGCGAAATTTGCCAAAAAAAAAATCCAGCAAAATCGGCTGTTTTTTACTGATTGTTTCTTGGCGAAGTTTCCCCCCGAAATTTCCCGTGAAATTGGCCGATTTTTCTAAGAATTTAACCCAAAATCCTCCGAAATTTGACTTTTTTCCGATAAAATCCCGCAAAATCGGCCGATTTTTTCACGAATTTTGACTTTTTTCCCGCGAAATCGTCCGATTTTTCCGCGAATATTTGCCCCTGAAAATCCCGCGAAATTTTGCTTTTTTTTCCGCAAAATATCAGAAGCCCTGAATCTGAAACCCCAACAGGAAAATTAATGGCTGTGTGTATCTCCTGGAAGAAAAAGAACCTTTAACACTGAGATGGCTCATACCTCTAACATAGCAATTAATTCTTGTTTTGAAATGCCTATTCTGTCCTTGTCCACACTGTCAACCACATATATTATAGCATCTGTATTGGAATAGTAACATCTCCAGTAAGGTCTGCAAAGATAAAAATACAATGAAACTCAGAAAAATCTGGTTGTCCTAGACTTTAGTTTAAACCCATACTTTCAAATCCTATTATGTTAACATTCAAATAAATTAAACCTTTTTGACAAATTTTGTATGGTGTTATTTATTTTAGTAGCTATATACTATATATGTAGATCTAACTTTTGATTCTTTTGCCCAAATCCTATGATGTTACCATTCAAATGAAACCTTTTTGACAGAATGTTTGCATGGTGCTATCTATTTTCAAGGATTTTACAAAACAACCCGGGATTTTTCAATCAATCAATCAATAAACTTTATTTTAAGAGGAGAGCATGTGACAGTAGTGAAACTGATGTATAAATAACTAAATAGATAAAAAGAATAAAGTAAACAGCTAATGTATTTCATCTACCTTCAAAATGTTCAAAACAACAATTCTATAATAAAAAGACACTTGCCTTATGCTTGTTTGACCTGAAAAAAAGAAATTAAACATCAAAATTAAAAAAATCAGTCAGCACATAAAATGACTTCAAAAAAATTTTGTATTTTAATGGAAAATTAACCACTGTTCATCAAAATGAACAAAACTTTCTTACCTCCTAGATCCCAAACTGTACAGTTCACATGAAACAAAGGACAAAATATACATGTAAGCTTTTTGTAAGGTCAGTGTTTTCTATAAAGGAAAACAATATCATTATTTTGCAGTGCATCAAAGATACAAATGGTTATGGGAAGAGTTTGAACTTGTTGTGCATGATGCTGGCAAATGTACCCTCACTGGTGCACAGAGGTTGATTTTCTTCTTACTACAGTATGTAGTACACACATTATTATGCGTGGGGACTATAAATAGATGGTGGTTTTGGTATAGCTTTTAGGGGTAAAATTAGTAGATACAAATTAAGGCATTAAAATCTAAAAGTGCCTCTGCTGGAGTTGTCCCATTGCCTTTAAGAGTAAAGAGCTGAACATTTCAGAAACTATTAGCCTGCAAAGTAGGCATATTTTGTAGTGTAAACATTGATGTTATTTTTAGGACAAATGCTCTCCCGCCATCTTGGACGGTGAAACTGACAGAGAGTTGAGGCAAGTAAAAAATAATAATTTCAAGGAAGAAGTTGGCAGCTGTGATAAATGTACCTCTGAGCTTTTGTTACTTAACTTAATTGTATATACCTTAAAAAAAATTATCAATGCCAGCTAATATAATACTGTCTCAAAATTGACACCCCTGGGTGGTAAATATAACATTTGTCCATGCCAATGAAATAAGATTATGGAGTGTTGATGAAAATTTCCAGTGGATATGGACATCATTCTTAGAGGTGAGCGGCTCCTTCAGACATGTATTTTCCTCTCTAGTGCTGTTTTACTTGGCCTGTTAATCAACCATAACTTGTAACAGAGGAACACCAGCACCCTAGTTGATTGATCATGTGCTTGGAATGTTTTTCTCACAGCCCCTGAGACTTACATGTAACCTACAGCCTCTCTATGGGTATGTATGGATGTTATTTTCATTGGGCATATTTTTATCAAGAATTGTTTTGCACTGGCTGCATGGTAACACTCCTAGCGAGCTTGAGCAACTATGACAATGACAACGCAAGCAATTAAATAAAAAAGCCATAGGTTTAATCAGCAAAACAAAAAAAATCTGAATGTGCACACACTATTTTGGTGGATTTCTCTGCCACTGTATGACTATTATGTCAAACATGATCGGAATGGCAATGCAATGGTCACTTTAATTTGTATGATAGTTGCTTCGTCAATAGCAAACATTGTTACTTTGAATTTGTTCTTAACCTTGACTCACTTGCAGCTGTAGGTTCGGACATCAACTTTACATCAAAATTACATTTTTTTTTTTGTCATGTTCCCTCTTGTGTTTAACTTAAGTTTATAACCTGTGTTTGGCTTTTAAAATTTCTCTATATAGAGGATATTACACGGTGGCGTGAAGATATGAATTTTATTTTCGAGTGGCAAAACAATATTTTATGAACAAGCGCAGCGAGTGAGTAAAATATTCTTTTTGCCACAAGAAAATAAAATTCATATCTTCAAGTTGCCGTGTAATGTTCTTTTTGTTATATAGACAAAAAGACATCGATAAAATAATAAAGAGAAATGACCGAAATTAGGTCAACGATAAACTCACGTGTGAGATTATAGAAAATAAACCACTCGGGTCCTGGATGTAGTTTTTATGAATTTTACGAGTGGTATATTTTCCAGTAAAACACTTGTGTCTATATAATAAATAAAGTTAAAGCATTTCCCCTTACCTTGAAATTTAAGATTCTTGTAGGTAACTGTCTCAACATTAAATCCTATTGCTGCAAAACGAAGAAAATAACACAATTAAGTCACACCAAAAATAGTACAAAATACATTGAAATCTGAAACGTTTACTAAATTTTTGCACCAAAACACATTGATCTTTATAACTTAACACGAGTCTTTAATTGAACTTGCTTGTCAGTTACCGACAATCGACGCTAAAATTTGTTAGTTTTCATAATTTTCCTAGCACCTTTGTAGAAAACAAATTACATTTAATCTATTGCAAAACTAGAAATTTTGAATAAAGGTTGAAAAACCCAACTTAAAATTGATATTCTTGAATAATACTGTTATATTTTATTCTTACTTGGTATCGTTGTAACTACTTCACCCACTTGCAATCTGAAAGGCACAAAAATGATTTGAGTTTATAGATTGAACTTCAATCCACAAAACACAAGAATTAGGCGATGCAACTCACCGGTATAGAATTGTAGTTTTTCCTGCTCCGTCAAGCCCTAAGATAAGGATTCGCAACTCTTTCTGACCAAACAGCGAAGAAAATAAACTAGAAAAGAAGCTCCCTGCGTAGATAACATAACAATCGCCTGAGAAATAAGTTAAAATTCTAGGATATTAGCACGCAGAAAACAGAAAACATACCCATTTTGAACTCTGCTCACACGGGTGATTGCGTGGCTCATTGTGACGAAACATATGTCATGTAATTTGTATTGGAAAATACCAAGGGAGTAAGGAAAGTGTTTAGCTTGTTTTGAATCGTTACAGATACATTTAAGTAATAATAAACATAAAAGAAGAAAAATATTAAGGAAACAAACTCTCTTAATTTTATTTTCGGAAATTTTGTTTATTTAACTTGGTCATTGGCCCCATAAGAGACGTCATAAAAGGCTGACAGATATACATGTCCCCTCCCTGGAATGGAGATAATTGACCGAGGACAGTTTATGACCTTTATTATCCACCGCGGTCAAACGTCTGAGCATGCGCGAAGATTTGCTTGGTGATCGCTACATTCGATTTGGAAAATCTATACGCATGTGGCTACGTCTTCTTGCGGGCAAGAACAGAGAAATTTTCTTTGTATTTCAAGAAAGTTCACTGGCGATGAATAGGAAGAATAAGAAGAGCGTATAACAGGAAATGTAAGTATGAGTAAACTTGCCTTTGACAATCATAATATTCCCCAAGTGCTCTTATGCTCTTGTTGATCAAAATGGTGGCACACATTTGTGGCCGCTAAAAGTATAGCTCAAGTTTAAATAGTTTTAAATTGTTTAAGCTTTCTGTAATGCTTTATACTAACACTGGCTTGAACGTAATTTGAATGGTTGGTATTTTTATTTAATACAAACCATATCTTTTGGGCTCTGGTTCGTTCTGCAAAATAAAAAATTTAGTAAATTGTCCGGTTGTGTTTTTTTTTGCGATGAAACTGTTCTTTTATGACTGACGACCTTAATTTTAAGCTTGTTCTTACCTTTTCACATCAAATATATTATCTCGCTCAGGGTTTAAGTCTGTATTAATAATAAACAAAATGTATCGATAATGAATAATTATTTTAGATCTCATTCATAAAATTCAATGACCACATCACATGAGTTTAGTAAACATAATCGAGCTCAAAAAAGATGTATGAACATCTATAGTGTCGGTGTTATTTATTGTTTTAGGCCAGGCACATTGTGAGGGGAAAAAGGTTTTTGTTTTAGCAGATGTTTAATAACCACACATAAGTTCAATAATCACAGCAGCATAAGATTATTTTTGACTGTTTGACATTGCAAATTGACCAGACATCAGTGTACATGCTGTCATTTCAACACTATTGCTTATTCTTCATGTTTGTTTACATTCATGACTAGGCTTCTGTTTTCATTACGCTGTCCATTCAATGCTCGCAGCTTGGTCTTAGTTTTACAGTTTAATTTACTAGCAATAGGGGGGGGGGGTGGTAAATGAGGTCTCAGTTGTACAACCTTCTGTGTTGATTTAAACTGCCATGGTGTTTAATGATCTTGTATGCATCTTTAAGGTGGGCCAAATAATAGGAGTTAGAGATTATTGTGGGTTACTAGATGCTCATATAGCATTAAAAGGGAAGGTACTTGGTATCTACTGTAGTTTTGTTCTTGCTATAACAATCTGACAACTTATTATTTATTTGATTAAATCTATCTTATTTTTGTACAGAAAGTTAGGAAGGGGATGAATAGAAGACACAGAGTCTAGACCCTGAAGGAGAAGCAGATCCATGAGAAAAGGGTGCAAAATGAGAAGAAAGAATGGAAATGATGTACATAAAGAACACCTAATTTAACTGAAAAGACAAATAAAGGTTCCACTCAATTTTATTTGCAATTTTGTCTTCTTTCTTACAGTATTTTAGACTGTCTTTTAGAAAATCTTGTTAGCCAAGCAGTCTAACTGACCAGCCATCATTTGGAGATGGGCAGCTATCCTCTCAAGGCTTTGTTACCTGTTTATTATTATTATTTTTTCTGCTTTTTCTTAAAGTCTTCTTTCTTGATCTTTGATCACCTCTCTGGCTTAAACAAAGTGCATTATTATGGTCTAAGTGAAAAGTTAAATTCCATTTTTTCTCTTCTGTTTCAATCACAAATAGGACACCCCTTACTTCCATTTCTTTTTCTGACAACTGGAAACAGGGATGACTCCAACCAGTTTTTCGATGATCACTTGTAGTTAATTGCTTCCGACGAGCTTAAAATGCAAAGCACACTGCGTTTATATATAGCAAAATGTTGAAAGCCTTGGCTCACCTGATCAGGAGCTCAAAAGGTAATCAAGGAAATAGGTCATGCAGAGGGGAGGGGAGGGGAGGGAAGAGCTGAAAAAAAACCATTAACCGAGAAAAAAATATTTCTGTACAGTTGTTCATCTGCTTATAAAATATCACTTAAAATGAGAGGACAATGAATTCAAATTGCTGAGAACAAAATTTTAGTAAAGTGTGGTTTACCATATTTTCTGATGTCTCTTTCGTTTGTTTTTGGAGTGAAGAGATTTATTAACTGCGTTGCTTCTGCATAATTATTGCACCATTTTGTCCGAGGTTTGTAGTCGGTAACGTTGTCAGGTTGTTCCTGCCCACCTCGTCAAATACTGCATACAGTCTCTCGAGGATTGGAATTTTAAATGGTTTTACTGTGTCCCCACGAAGACGGACAGGAGCAGCGTTTGTCCTTGGCAAGTATCGCGTTTCTATGCCTCAGGCAAGGCCATGATCCTTCAGCAGGTACCCCTTCTGCCCTCGATAAAACTTAATCAACACTCCGGAGCTGTTTTTGACTACAGTTTTCTCTTCCTGTTGGCTTCTCCCTTCGTGGACTCGTCACGCATTGGAACGGCGACATTCAGTAAACAAGGCTAAGCAAATGGCGACGACAAGCTTTCGCATGTCGGCTCTTTTAACACGAAGAACTTTTTTAGTGAAGGTCAAAACAATTTAGTGAACTCGGAGAATAATGAAAATTTATCTAACTATTAACTGTGAAAACAAAAACCTTCACTTTGAAGTATTTCGCTTAACTTTAGCGTATTTCTGACGATTGTTCAACTATACTTTGCTTGACACCGGTCTCTGCAATGGTTTCAATTAAAATTTCGCGCGGGAAATTTCCCCGGCCGGGACCGGATACGAGTGCATTGCGCATGCTCGTGCGTTTGACCGCGGTTAACCTTTATTACAACCTATGAAAAGTCCGCAGATCAAGTATATCCAGAAGTGCGGAGACAAGACAAAGTGCGGCTTTCAAAATGGCGGCGGGAAGGTGTAATTTAATTTTCTTCATTGCTTTGCGTTTTGTGGACGTTAGCTGAAACATTGCTAGTATCTATGAAATGGAGGGAGGACAAGATAACGAAGAAAAGCCAAGCCAGGAGGAGTGGCCTTTGGAAAAGGCTGAGGTTGGTACTAAAGAGATTCTTGTTACTTTTTTTTCTAAAGGTCGGTGGGATCTGTTCCCTAGATGGCTGCAAAGAAAAGGAGTTTGTAATATGATTTAAGGTTTTTGCATTTTTTTTGCATGACTTAGTGATCATGACTTTAGGACAAGGGTCTTTGGTTGAGTTAATCGTTTCAGAGAGTACAGAGTTTAATTTATATATGTTGTAGTTATTTTTTTATCTCAAGTAATTTTTGTTTTTCTTTTTTTTTTTGCGTATGGTAAAGTATGCTAATGAAGTTGTAACAAAAGAAAAATAAAAGACTTTCCTGAGATAAAAAATTAACTATAACATATAAAACATATGTACATTCTAGTGGAGAGTTTGATTACAGTAAAATGACTGAAAATAACAGTCCCTTGTCCATCTGGGAGGGCATCATCATAAGATCCTTTTCAGAGCTCTATATTAATTGTGCAATATAAGCTTAAGTCATTGAAATAATAGTGAGGTCATGCAGTATTCTCCAGAAGTTCCGGAGACCGGGAAAGTTGCCTCCTAGTTAACACAGAGGTGTTGGCCACTCACAGAAAATAATTTTAAGTAGGACAATAAAGCCATTGTATTTCATTTTATTTTTGTTCTGAAGGGGGTGGGCCGCTCAGGGTTACTCCAGCTTTCAAGTAATGGGGATGATGAAAATCTAAAAAAAATCCCTCGGGCTTCCAACAGAACCCAAAAAAATCCCTGGACCAAAAATTAAGCCCCAAAAAATCCCATGCCAAATTTCCAGATGCAATGTAATGCCCTCAAATTTTCCTATCATCCCCAACCCTACACACAGTTCTGGCACATGAAAGACGCACTTTTCAATCTCATCAGTGCCGGCTATCTTATGTTTTTCTCCTTCATTGTGTATCAATAGTTTCTGTCTTGTACTTTGCAAAAAAAATGAAAGCCAACAAGAAGGGGAAATTAAAATTTTACATTTTTGAGGATGACCTGTGATGGTGCATCCAATAACTTGGTAGTAATGCCAGCAGTTGATACGTGTGTTTTGATAAGATTGTTTTCATGCACTTATGCATTAAATTTTAGGTTGCAGTACAGCAACTCTATGAATTTAGAGATCATTACTTTGAACACAATTCCACTGACAAAGCTTTGTTAAAAAATCAAGAAACTGAGGAAAAGTTAAAGGAGACTCTAAATATTCTGGATTATGTTCAAGGTAAGGGGAACATTGATTTTTTTATCTACAGCATCAAATCTTAGTAACCTCATTACCAGATTCCCCCTCTTCTTTCTCTTGCTCCTTACGGACGGGTAGGAGAGAACCCTAGGGGTGAGGTTGCAAATCGTTATCTTAGGTGATTTTCACAAACTGGATGGGAGTCAATTATGTCAGTGAATTCAAATTCCTTGTGTTCATGTCGCCATGAAAATTGTAAAGAGGTAGAAAATTTAAAAAGGTATGTTGATGGCGTGTGAGAAGTGGAAGAAAATCTGAATTTCAAGGCCAGTAAAAATTGTTGAGAGCTCAGAGAAACGTTTGGGAATTACAACCAAACCAGGTAAAGTATGCCCCGTGAATTCTATTAATGAATGTATCAATTGAAAATTGAATTCATTAGTCTACCAAACCATGTCTGTTAACATAATATAAATCTACATTCATACATGCATAAAAAAGTAGTGACTGATTTTATACTACAACTTGTCTGTATTTCATCAAATTGAGAAATCTTTCACACTTTGAATGTATAAAACTCCTGAAAAAGTTCAAAAAGAAAGCTGAGCTGACAGAAATTTTAACTGCCTCGTGCATGAATTTACTGCTTATTACATATCCAAAAATAATGAAATGAACCTGATATAAGCAACTGACAGATTCAATTTTCAAATAATGAATTCATCAATAGAATCAATAGGGGTATTCATTTCCTAACATGACTGTAATGAGTGGCATGCTGAATAAATGCTAATCTCCAAACTTAAATAAAATAAAAAAGGGTAAAGTAAATACAGTATATATTTAGTACATTTTAACATTAATATGACTTGTAGAAAGTTTTAAGTAAACATATTCAAAGGCTTCATTTAGTTTGCATGGCAGCAGCTAAATCATATGACAAATCATTTCAGCCTGTAGTGAAGAAACAGCAAAGTGTTTGTTTTTGAGAGGAAAAGCTCTGAATGTAATGCCTCACTATGATCCTATGGCTCAAGATGCTCTTTCTAAAGCTGTCAAGATGAATCCTAAACTGGTTGAGGCCTGGAACTGTCTTGGAGAGTGTTACTGGAAGAATGGACAAGTAGAAGCAGCAAGAAACTGTTTTGTTGGAGCACTGAACCATGTAAGTTTATCCTTCAACAAAGATTTGACTTTACTGAAGAAAAATACTAACCAAAATCACTGAACTGTTAACACCTGGAAAAAAAAAGGAAAAAAGCAATCATTTCGTATTTTAATTTTCAAAAAGCTTGTGTGACCATCGGTGATTCAAGTAGCTCGTGCTTGAAAAGATAATGAATGCTCATGAAGAAATATCATGCATAGGAAATCAAAATTATTGGAAAAGATGCTTTGTCACTAATTATTAATGATAAGTTTGAAAAAGTGTAGGCAGAGTTGTTTCAAAAGAACGCTATCCTTGCAGTTTCAGAGTATTTAAACAACAAATCATCTTTTTTTGGCATTTCTAAAATGAGGTAAAGTCAAAAGACCAAACTGGTTGCTTGATGTGGTCCTCAAGCTATTCAAAATTGCAAAAGCAAACAATCATTTTTTTTCGAGGTCCTACTAGGTTAGTGATTTTGGTAGTACACAATGCACATTTATTAGGGCTAGAATTTGAGTTACTGGACCTTTTATAATCATTTGATCACACTTGGTTTCCACTTGTACAGATTAACCCTTTGAGAGTGAATCAGTTAATTATTTACCTGTAAAACATTAGTTTCGCTTGAATCTACTGTATGAAAGTTATGAATGTGAATGCTTTTTTGTTTGATATAATTTACATTATAATGAACTTGAGTAATCTTACTCTTTGAAAGGAACATCTATCTCTTCCTTCAGGAAAAGAATAAAGTGTCTTTAAGGAATTTATCAATGGTCTTGCGGCAGATCGGGAAAGGTAATAAATTATCTTAATTTCCAGATGTAAATTATTTTGAAACCCATACTGCATAATGACAAAGATTTTATTGAATTTTTGTAGTTTGGTCCTGTAATTTCTTGCAAATATGTGTGTATGTGTTTATTCATTTTTCAGATCAAAGTGAAAAAGTTGAGAATATTAAAGTAAGCGTTGAAAAAGCAAAGGAAGCTGTACAGTGTGATGTTAAAGATGGAATGTCTTGGTGTAGGTCACTTTAATTTTTTTCATCTATGTGTTGATATCAGAACGCTTTATTAATAACATTATCAACCTGTGATAAATCTAGCAAAACATTTTTGCCCTCCTCCCCCCTTTTTTGTCCAAAGCAAGGCCCCCAAAAAACGGAAAAACCATCCATTCATATCCTGGGACTGCTGAGGAACTCATTTCTATTGGCAGATGTTTTGACGAAACTATCTTTGAAATAATTATTTTGACAGCCTTTGGCATACTAGGCCGGTAACATTTTCAATCTGCTTATTAAGAAAATATTCTTTACCCCATCAATCTTGATTGTATTAAAGGGGCTGTCATGGATGTCTAGTTCATTGTGTTTATAGTGCCAGCTACGCATCTTTTGTCATTATAAAACTTGACAAATTATCTGAGAATAACAAAATTACAGCTTTTTGTCAAAAAATTCTCTTCCTAGCATTATATCAATCAATTTACAAATAACAAAAGTGAACTCTGAAAATTGTTAGGTTAATACAAGTTTTCAAAATCCCAACTGCAGTCCATTTCAATCATCTTCAAGTTTCAGGGATGTCACTAAGATTTCAAGTTGCTGGGTAAACACAAAAAGTAGACGGGGAATAAAACAACCAGGGATATTTTTTGGTTCTATTTTTCTTCTATTTTCCTATGAAGTTAAAGTAGCCGCAGCTGTAGCCGGGGAAAATCACCGACCCCCACCTCTTAATGACAGCCCTAAGTTTGTCCATCCATACTTCCTTTTGTATTAATGCTTTGTCTCTATGTCTAACTTTTTGAGCTGTTATTTCAATGTTTCACTCAATTTGGTGGCTGTTACCTCTGTTACCTCTACAGCTTCTTTAAGTCCAGTTGGACTCATAAGTACAGCATTACAAAATGAAGTTCATTTGACCTCTTCCAATTTTTTAGGTTCTAATACTTCCAAGTTTTAAAACAATCTATCATAAACATTTCACCTTTCCATCTTATTATTACCTTTATAGATGTGCTTGGCAATGCATACTTGTCATTCTTCTTTTGTGGATCACAGTCCCCCCAACTCATCAAACAGTGTATGACGGCCTATTCACAAGCTGTAAGTATACCATCATTGAGAAGAATTTAGAATAACTGACATAAAGTGCAGTTTTTGTGTAATTGGGCTCACTGGCCATGTTATTAAGGGGTGCCTGGAGGAAGGTCCAAGGTGACTTCTGATCATGATATACTATGAGATTTTCCTTCTAACTTGCCTTGTACATGCTTTTATAAAATAACTAAGATAGTACGTGCGTCCTGATTGGTTAAAAACCTATGGTTTATTGTGCCGGTAAACTCATAGAAAACTGAAACATACTTTAAAGTTATTTTATAAAAGCATTAGACCACACTTTCTATCGGTTTACCAGCGTGATAACCCACTTGAGATGTTGGGAGAACACTCAAAATGCTTGTAAATCACTCGCCTTCGGCTCATGATTTACAAGCTTTTCTCGTGTTCTCCCGACATCCCGCATGGGTTATCGGTAAACCCAGAGAAAGTGTGGTCTATTGCTTAAGTAAATCAAAGGGAGAATTTGACATTAAAGATCAATCAATGACAATAATAATAATTTATTACATGATAAGTGAAGAATGATGGTAATGTGGTAATATTTCAATAAAATTCAATTACAGCTATTACATGTATAATGTACAATGTAGTTTCTTTGAATTGGAGTCTTTTGATGTGTTTGGTTTCATTTTCATGAAAGTTCAAGGATCCTGTGGCAAGAAATAACCCAGATCTTTACTTCAACAGAGCAATGGTAAGATTCCCCATTTACTGGGGGATGGTTAAATTGGTTAAATCATTGAATTATTCAGATATTTACATCTAATAATTAGATTTATGTCTAATACTTAAATTAAATTTCCTGCTCAATGTCCAGCAGGCATGGGAATATGGTAGAAAATATTAGATAATTATTTTTTTATGAATCTTTTGTACTGTAATGTTGATGAATGATGTACTCCTAAATCAGTTTCACTATGAAACTACAATCAGTGCCAAAATTAGTTGAGACACTTAACCTTAAAGGGCCTATGAGGTTTTGCTGACTTGTGCAAAGAAAGTAGTGTCCGATAGCTGGGGTCTAGTTGATTTTGCTATCAGGCTAGTGAATTCTGTTCTTAACTAGCACGACGGGGAGGTGAAGTTTTTAGTGGAATTCAAGAAAAAAGAACCGACTGCAAAATCAATCTGTTCATCAAAACGTTTTTGGGGCTAGTTGAAATTATCTTTGGGCTAGTAAATGCTAGCTTCAGCTTGCCCAAATGGCAAGCTGTAAAAATGACTTTCTTTGCACCATGCATCAACGGAGATAATGAAGCTTTTCTTCTCATGTCCCCTCTGCGCAATGTTGTGCCGTAGGACGTGCTACCTGCAATAAACAGACCCCCTAACTTTGAATAGAGGGGAGGGGAGATGGGTGCCGATTGTTTTGTTCTCAGAATTACCACTATTTGAGTATGGTATTGTGTGACCATCCATGCTGCCGGGGTTTATGTCCTCCATAATTTTCTACCAGTTGGCCATTGCATTTTAATTGAATATTATCATCAAACATTTATCTGGAAAATTATTTCAAAAGTAATTTTCTTCACATTTTATACAGTTTGCAGTGTGGAGAATATGAAAGTAATTAAATGCAAGGTCCATTTTGCAGACTGGAACAAGCATAGATACCCTTTGTTATTAATTTATAGGCATACAAGTTTCAGGAGGAATACAAGTTAGCAGTTTGTGACTTCAAGCAAGCTGAAGCACTTGACCCAGCCTGGACTGAACCTAATGATGAAAAGAATAAACTTCTTAACATTCTCACAAAGACACTTGACTTATTGGAGGGAAAGGTGATATGATCTGATCACTCAGTAGAACAATGGAACTGTTTGTGTTTATTGTAGAAATTATTTGGCATGCCCGATTTAAATGTCCTCTGTTAAAACCTGATCACTACCATTCATCAGCTAATCGCCTGAGAAAAGAGCCAAAATTTTGAGAAATTTCGTGATACTACCCAGATCTCAATAGTTTCTGTGTCATCAAGAGTATGGAATTTCTGTGTGCATTTCTCAGACTTCATTTTGTTGAGGAACCAGCAGTGGTCATGAAATGTTGGCAGTTTTTTCAGGCTATTCATCAGCAAATTAATTTAATTATTTTGTTCTACATTGTCTCTTATGCTCAGTTGTTTAAAATTATGGGTCCTAAAAAACAGCCAGAACTATGGATCAACACGTTGTGATCAGTCAAATGACTATGGCCAGTTTTAGAGAGTTCATTGTAAAAACTTTGCACATTATTCCTCTCTCAGCTCTTTGATATGGGGAATTAGTTGTTTCCCTTTGATGTCCTTAATTAGCCTGTATTATTGAAACCATCTTAAGATACTGTAAATCTCATGTACCAGTATTGAGATAGAAACAGTCATCTATCAGGAATAAAAGTTAGGATAATTACAGTCAACTATTTGGGAATGTCTTTTTTTAAATCAGGAATGCCTTGCATTTATGAGTCAAAATTCCACTTTATTCCTGAATAGTGAGTGGAATGTGCTGAGTATTTTCACTCAGGAGCCAATAGGAGGTCAATCATCATAAGTCTTGCCCTTTTTTAAAAAAATGGTTGAGAGGTATTCATTTGCATTATTGTGTTTTGTTCTAATTTAAGGGTAAATTAAAAGCAAAGAGGCTCCATTCCATGGTGCAGTCCCTAAGCCCCTCTGATTTAGGTCCATATGGTGGCGGTACCTACACCAGCCCATCCAGTCAGACTGTTCAGCTTGATCTTGTTCCTGTTTCCAAACTGGTTCCTGGTGTAAACCCTAACAAAGTGACAGTGGGAAAAGTTGTTGGTTTTGTGCCAATGGAAGATCCTGTACCATAGTAAGATTTTCAGAATAGTTTATAATTTATTGTGAACCCAGGAGTTTATACTTTATAAGTAAGTGGAATATGGTTGTCCAGTTGAGTGTAGTCCTGAATAGGACTGTTGTTGTCAGTGACTGACAGTTAGACAACCTGTGTGATAGTCATCTTCAGAGTCAAAGTAAGTTGTATCACGTCAGTTGATGGTACATTATTGGTCGTCTGTCACTTAAGCAGTGATGTTGTTGGCTGTAAAGACTAGAAATATGATTGGTGCATTTCAGTCTCTCTTTTGTTGCAATTTGATAGTTGGTTATTGTTAGGTCAATTTGTCGGTTGTCTTGTTGTTCCGTTGTTGTCAGTTTTGCTTGAATTTTTCACTAGTGGTTTGTACGGTGCCGATGACTGTTGAGTGCAATTCTGTTATTTGAGCCTTGGTCACATGTTTTTGTCATTAGATAATTTAAAATTCAAGGATTTGTGTCTGATGTGAGTTATGTGCCATACCTCTCACAACACACCAGTTTAAATAAAATTATGGCCCGTCTAAAGTAATTTTCTAATACGTATACGTACATCTATTTGTACTCAATATGTATATATCCATTTTTTTCTTTTTTTTTTTTTTTCTCCATCTTACATTTTTTAATCTAGTTTAATTTTTAATCTAATCTAACTGTAAAACACTTCTTGTGACGTTGGCGTTCCTCATTAAGATTGCTTTACTAAAATGTAGTTAAATAATCATACAACAAATAACAGTTGTCTGTCTGGCTAAAATAGATGTTATGCATTTCAGCGTCTTTGCCATGGTGGACAGTGAGAATCATTGTGTACCAGTCACTATTTATAACATGGCCTTAGGGAGTGGTTTTGCTGTTGGAGACTCTGTGGCAATTCCTGAGCCCTTCTGTCAGGAGACTGATTTCACTGAAAATGAACAGGTATTTGCCAGTTAAATTTGTATAATAAATTATTGTAATACTTCAAGTCTCTATGAAGCTAGCTAAGATCTGATCTAGCAGTCTGTCTTCATCGTAAAATTAATGTACATACTGTAGGCTTTACACTTAGTTAAGAATATTTACATGTATTCATTACAAGCTCTCTTAGCTTTTTTTTGTGGTGAGCGAGGTATTTTCATGTAAATTTTCATTCCAAAACAGAGGTTTCAAACATTGACTTCTACTTTAAATCTGCACAAACATCTTAACTTTTATGTACTGCAATTAAACTTCAGGCAGCAACAACAAATGGTTTGGTTTCGCTCTGCTCTCCAGGTGCAGTTGATCAAGAGGGATTTGCTTGCAGGCAGTACCACTTTATATAGTGGGCTGATTTGTTAACACTGCACTTTCGTCAACTTAGTGAGTTATGTTATCTTTTCTCTTGCAGACATTCAAGTTTATGTCCATCCGTGTTGACAATCCAGTTGTTTTGGTTGTAAACAAGAAAAAACTTGGTCCGAACAGACTTGCTCCATCAACTCTTTTGGTTACTACAAAGAGTGAGTGAAGTCCAGGTGTAGTTGTGGGTGGAGAGATCAGACAGGCTCACTGATTTGCTGGGTTTTTTTTTTTTAAGACTGTTGGATAAGCTTATCAATTGGTGTGACATATAAATGGGAAAGATGTTTATTTATGGAAGGAAGGATTTGGCACCATTGGGTAGTTTGAAGCTTTCTGCACCTTCTGCACAAGTGGCCGTGAGTTTGATTGCCAGGTGTAACCTCAAAACCTTGTTTTTGATTTGTTCCTTTTCATGGAGCCTTAAGTAGCTTTAAATACCCTTAAAACAGAGCACTGATGGAGAGAGGATGGGGAGGGGATGTGTACTCAGGCAGCCTCAGGTTTGTTAGTCAGGTGATCACCATTTCAGGCCTATCCTGTGGTAGAATAAGGGCCCTTTACCTTTTACCTATACCTTCATGGAAGTTCAAAGTATCATGATTATAATATTATTGCTGGTGTGTGGGAGTGACTACGACTCAGTGACTGCTGATCAAGGAAAAGACATTGATCCCTGTGGTGTCTGCTCATGGAAGAGTTCTCTGCTTCTTGATACTGTCACACAGCAAAATAGCATTTGTGTGGAGTTGACCTTTGAAAAGAAGTAATGTCTTCAACTGGCAGGTTTAAATCTAGTGTGTTTTTGTGGCTGGGACCATGAGCATGGATATCTGATGACAGGTTAAAAATGTGGCGTTATTGTGTACCTCTGGTATCATTTTTTGGATATCTGCTATCTGGAAGAGGTTACAAAAGTAGAGTGTTTGAGAGTGGCTGGATCAATGACTGTGTGTTTGCCTTGAAATACTCTCTGCTTCTGAAGATTCACTGGGTGTCTGCTGTACTTAATAAGGGAGATGTCTGGTTATGGGAGGTTATGCACTGTTTGAATATGGCAGGGATCATGACTGTCTGTTAATGAGTGGTTAGAATTGGAGCATTTGTGTGTGTGGCTAGGACTGTAACTAATTGTCTGCCTAGAACAGCTTTCGACTTATAGAGGCAGCATTTCCTGACCTTCCAAGGACATAAGCCAGGATATTATTCCATACTGATGAAATGACAGATTCACATGAATTTTTACCATAGGTTTTTGAAACAAATGTACGAGTTACATGTATTTGTCTGATTTCCTGGCCTCTCATTGCCAGGAGGGTAAGGGAGTGGTCAGTGATAGGCAAACCCTCAGGGGCATTCAAGGATGAAAGCCACTGGTAAATGAATAACTGCTAGCAAACAGGAGGTAAAAATAAATAACCTTAGAATTTGATAAAACTAAGTTCTGGACATGACATTTAAAGTCAAGTCAGCACAAGTTAAGAAAGGTTATTTATGGCTGGGTATTAAACGGGAGGGTCCAAAGGCATTATGTATATTTGTAGGTGTGATCAATCTGACTGACAGTCGCTTAAATTGTTTTATACAAGGTGAGAGAATCGCTAGCGACTTACGAAGAAAGAAGTGTCTTATAAATTTATTCATGAAGGTGCTGCCGCGGTACTTCCATCACCGGCTATTTTTGCTTTGTGACATTGAGTTAATACATGTGTAGTGCGCGTGTAAAAACTTGTAGCCACTGTACTTCACATTTGTCGCGCAGAACGAAATTCCATATCCCTTTTTTCGTTTAATTTTTCGTGTAATTAGTTCAATGAAACGAATTATCAGGAAAGAAAATAATCTTAAGAAGAGAATGTCGAACCTTTACTGTGAGAAAAGCATTTCAATTGTCTTTTTTTCTCTCACGGATATCGAGACTCTTCCGATCGCCCCATAGCACAGTGTTCGGTTTGGAAAAAGATACACATTACATGGCAATTTATATTTATCATACTTTCCACGTTTTCGCTCGGAACATTGTTTTCATTGTCTGATAAATTGATATTCTTCTTGGACACATTAGCATCTGGAACATCTGGAACCGAACTGTAGCGCTGCCGTGGAAACACTTTTTAAACTTTGTATTGAAAAACCTTGAAAATGTTGATGTATCCTTACGAAATTAAATCTGGTACTTTTTTTACTCGTTGGTGTTGTTCAATAAGTATTGCATCGATTGTCTTCATTCACAGCGTTATACACATGTTCCTCGCTTTCTGAGAATTTTCATGTGTTGTACGTGCTCGCGTGATGTATGCTTAAAATAACATATGACAGACTTAAAAGTGAAAATTACCGCCGAGGGAAAAATCCCGGGAAATTCCCGGCTGAAGCGATTTCGTGGAGGGGATTCCCGGAATTCGATCTCCGATAACTGATTGGCTGAGAAAACGAGGGGGCGCTTTACACCTTTCACGTGATATGCTGTGACGTGTATCCGGTCAAGAGGAGCGAATCAGAAACGACGAATAAGCGCGGGTTTCCTAGAAATGAGGGGTTTTCACCGAAAAAAACAATTACAAAGACCTATCAGAGTTTGTTTATGAGATCCGTAATAAATTCTGCGAATGGGACTGTCTGGGCGGATAAGACTAGAGGAAAGCAACAGTGCGAAGTATTTTGTAGCGGTCATCTTCAGCGATTAAAGGTAAGGTTTGGCCATTCTTTGCTCGAACAATTCAACTAGCTTTACGCTGCTTTTTCCCAGAATCAATTTAGCGTGATATTTCCTTGCACAAGCTTGCGAATGTTTCTTTTTTTTTAACGTTGAATGAAATTCGGGTTCAATCGAGCGTGTATGACTTTTGACGATGTTCTTGTAAATTTGCTCACAGCGGCGTGATTTTAACAGAAGTTTGATTTCAGCTGTAGTGTTGTAAATTACACGTGCAAAGTACAACTTTGTGTTGTTCCAAACTCGTGTGTTAAATTAAGCGCCCCACGTTAGACGGCGAGCAACTTCGAACTAAAACCTCGCTTGAATGATCGTGTGGTTTCTTGCAGGTTTGCAGACATGTCCGACGGCTGTTTATTTGACATGCCATTTACCCCGACGAGTCAAGTGGTAAGTGAAATCAGTTAATGTAATTTACAACTTGTGTAAAGGTGTTTCTCGCGTGCCCGTGGTTCGTGGTAGATTCATTTCAGACATTTTGATACTTGGGAGCGAAGTTTGTTTACACTTGACATGCATTGTAAATGCTTACGATTTTTATCACACACCAAATATTCAATAATCGCTATGAAACTATTCTGTCCCTCGAGTATTCTATTCTGTTCAGTTTGTTGCAAATTTTCTTTTAACTGTTTAGGTTTTGCTGCCGTTCGAAACGACTGCTTTATTTTATAGCTGCTGTCGTGGTAATACTATACTCACATAAATGGCCTACACCGTATCCACCCACACTGCAACGGATATCGCTGATTATTTAGGACAGTTATTTTATTAGATCTGCTTTTTTACTTGTATTGATAGTAAACTGTCTGTAGTTTTCCTGGTTCTTGATGATCAAAACAATAAAAGCCTTATCAAGATCTTACCGAGGAATTCAACATTGCTTTACAAAATTTAATTTTAGATTCTTAGAAGGATTATTAATTACCTTCCAAATAACCTTTCCAAACATTATTTTAGAAGTTCTGATCAGGCATATATAACCTTTGCGTTCAGGTTAAGTCCTTGATCTTAAATTTTATCAAAGGACTTTGCTTTAAAATTCAATGGATTTGACATGCAGAAGCACGTACATGCTGCCGTGGTAATATTGCTAGTAGCATTTAGTCTTGGATAGTGCTGAAAACAAAAAGCCTTGTTTTCTTTGCCGAGCTTGACGTCACAAAACAAGCCCGACTGTTCTAAGATGGGGTCACGTATGCCGTATTAGTCATTCATTTCAGTGACAATATCTGTTCTGAAGCAAACAAACGGTTGCTCAAAATGAAAGAAAAAGGCATGAAATGATTGTGCTTTATGGAAATGATAAATAAGTCCTTTTTTTGTATATGTTATTATCAAGAAAGAGGAGCTGTCACATGGGTCCACTGGATTAACATAACTGAGTGAATAAAGCTTCACCTACTTAAATTCAAAATTCTATTGTCCTGCAAACTTAAAGAAATTAAACTATCAAGCAGGACTATCCAGCAACACCACAAACAAACTAAAATTTACACGTTTGCAAAGAAAGGTGTTTTGTGCCATAGACGAACAATACTATTAACACTCAAAACAAAATTACCATATTTCCTTGAAACTGATCGCTCTGAACTTATGTGGAATTTTATCCCTTTGCATAATTTTGATATCAATTTGCTGAATTGATTCTTGGAAAACATTTTTTGTCTTCTATCGGTAAAATAGGGAAAAAATGTGTTAATTTTTTTCCATATGGTTCCACAGAACTGATGGAATGGTTCAAAAGACAGCTCTCATCTGAGTCACTACAATAATCATCACTTCAGTTCTTTATTCTCTCGCTTACAAAGTTCATCAGACCTTTTCATGTTGTTGGCTAAGGTCATAAAAATTAAGAAACAATAAACAAATTTGACAAAATACATCTAAAGTCTCAGTATTAATGTCATAAGAAATGTATAGTGCAAAATAGAGTATAGGATATGTATGTTTAAGATAGCGCTGATCTAAGGTTATTAAAAAGTCAACAAAGTGTTATCAACAGTTGAAGTCCAAAATGACAAACGTTTTGTTATGATCTTCATACTAGTAAATGACTGATGGACAAATAGGTGCTGCAATAATAGCGAAGCTAGGTATTATTTTAATCGCTCTTTTTCTTGGAAATTTTCAATTGTTCTCAAAATATGCAATGATCAGTCATTCAAGCATAAACACCGTTCTACTGTAAGAAAAACATGCCCATATTTGGTATCAAACTTACCCAAACTGTATTACCGGTAGAATGATATTTGAGGTAGCCCACTCTGCAAACGTTTTGTTATGATTTGAACAAACTTGCAATGTTTGTCAACAAAATTAAATTTTTTTCTGCCCTGACAGGAAACAAATTATTTGTTTCCTGTCAGAAATGTTGTTCACTTATAATAAAGAGAGCAACTTCAACATCAGAATGAAAAACGTTACAATCTTGCAAGCTAAAAAATAGTGGCATATGTTATGTTATTCCTAGGGGTATAACTATTGAATGAACCCCCAGTATATGTTATGTTATTGCTAGGGGTGTAACTATTGAATGAACCCCCAGTACAATATTTTCATGGTTAGGTTAATCTTTTTACCAACTGTCCATCCCGATTTCATCGGGATTCTCCCAAGTTTGCTTGAAAATCCTGAATCCCGACCAATATGTGATCAGGGTAGGAAAAAAATCCCTATTTTGACATTTCCAAATGAACTCTTACGATACTTATACAAGAACACATAACAGATTATACTTAACAGAAACTGATGTCCAGAAAACTTTAAAAATTGCACAAAATAATATAAAATAAAATCAAGTACTTGTACTCGAAACCAGGCAAATAAAAATAAGCATAAAATGACAATTGATTTGGTGAACATTTTAGACAAAAATTGTCCTCTCAGAACACCAGAAATGGCATTTCAGAGGATCAAGAGTTCAAAATTTTCTGGGGAGAATGCCCCCAGACCCTCCTAGCGGCTCGTCCCTTCAGCGCTGGCCTTGTCAAAAAAATATCCTGATTTTACTCACTCAAAAGGTTGATCAGTATGCATTTAGTGCTTATAGACCAATTTTTTTTTTTGTGGGGGAGGGGGGGTGGGGGCCTAACCTCTAAATCTGTGGACGGATTCATATATTGTGACTGTTTAAATAAATTTAGAAATTACTTTGGAATAACTTTTGCATACTACTAAGTATTTCTAAAGATTTTACACAAAGAATTGTGAATTTCTTTCCTTATTATTTTAACCTCTTAAACAGTATTCAACTTATGTTACCAGGGTTAGAACCCCAGCAAAAAGCTAATCTCAGGTTGAATACTGGTTAAACATAAGAACAGATGTTACTATAACAAAGCCACCATCATTAAATTTGCCAAAAGGAAATTAAAAAAGTGGTGTATTCATAACATTAGCAGTACTTGGACTGTTTAGTAATACTTCTGTATAGTACCATTATTATGATGTGTTTTGCATATGAAATTTTAAATTATTGTACTTTGGAAAGGGCAGGATTAATGTTGTGATTTCAATATTTTCTTTCATTTCTGCAGCCTCCCAATCAATTGTCTTTACCGATGTTGAAATCATGGCTGTCATCCTACAGTTATCCCTCTACCACTGCTGGTCCCCTTGTAGCAACCACAATCACAATAGAAGCCATTCAAGATCTCTTGCATGCAAATGGATATCCCATTGAAGGTATTTGGCTCATTTATTTTTTTTAGAAAGTGTATATTATAAAACATATATGGATTGTTATTAGGGACATAGTAATTTTTTAAGTCCCTTCAGTGATCAATGCCTAACTCTTCCTTGTGATGAATAATTTTTGATCAGTTGGAGAGGACATGGTTATGAAACTCTATAATTTGTTTGATGCTGTATAGGTGAAACCTTTTCAGTAGCTATGTAGTACTTTGATAATTTGAAATATTATATAGTATATTTCAAATCATTAAAAAATATGTGTTAAAAATTTATTGTAATATTATTAAGTTCTCTTATCTTTGACATTCATTGCATTAAGGGGACACCTGGCTTTAATAGGAACAGCTTGAAAAAGTGTCCCTAAGGTGCTGGCTGTGCATGCTTATCACAGGAAACACTTTTGTAAGCAGAGAGTTAAGACTTAGGATTTTGTCAATGCAGCCTTAAGTAGTCAAGTTGTCCACTTGCGAAAGTACTGTGTCCGTTAAGAGGGCTTAATGCAACTGTGTTATTAATATCATTATATTAAATATTAATTTTTATTACAGCTGTTTATTAGAAGAATGTTCTGTGTTACTGTAGCTTTACCATCCATTACAATCTTTTTTTTGAATTTTATCTCAACAGCTCCATGCAATGTAGATATATTTTCTGGGCCATTTGATGACACACAGTTTGATGCAGTTGTGGATGTTGAAACTTGTGATGATGGAATAGATGCTGGTACCTAATTATTTTGTTTCTGTAGACAATCATCAAAACCCTTATAATTTTATTTAAACTCAGTAAACTCATTGCAAAGTCAGTTTAGAGAGATTGACCCTCTATGTTAAACTAGCATTTTTGTCTCTGTCAACACTTGTTTAATAATGTGTATTCTTTTTTAAAGACCTTAAATTCACAGACCTGGATGCCTGTTCTGAATATGGTTACTGTGGGTCTGACCTCTCAGAAGATGACCTCAGTTTATTGCAAGGTAAAATTTAATAAATTTTTATCGCAGTCATAACTACTAGGTACCATTATGACTTTATTGGACATTGGTGTAAAGAAAGCATGTTGTTGATTATGAAATAATGTTGTCTTCCACAGATCTGCCACTGAGTCCAGACTCTCCATTGCTTTCTGACTCTGCTGATATTGACTTTGGATGTGACTCGGGAATTGAGGCTGAAATGGATGAACCTCATGGTAAGATGCATCTATTCTTCCTTCTTTATTTCATTCATGCCGACATTGACTTAATTTCCATTATCATCTTCCGATGCCTGGATACATTCCCTAGAAAGCTGGCATATGGCTGCATCTTCTGCCTTTTGCCTGCACTTTAAGGCAAACTGCACACTAATCTGAGTGATTACAAGACACAACATGGATGGATTTCCATGTCTAATGCTTCCTCTTTGAAGATTCTGTTTTAAGCCAAGTTGTATAATGATTAAAAAAAAAACTGAACATTATCCATTCTGACTTATAACTTACACTACTACACCAGAAAACATTTTTGATTCTCTTCTTATAAAGTTGAAGATTCTAATCCTGCAAATGAGTGTGTTTTTCTTCAAAAACCTGTTTTATTTCAAGTAACTATTGTAAATGTATTATTCTTTTTCCTTATAGTCTGTTAATTGGTTATTTTTATTTTAATCTAAGATGGTGCAGATAATGAGAAAGAGAAGAAAGAGAAGAACAAGGCCACTGATGATGACAAGAAATCTTCTGAAAAGTCAGCCAAGGAGGGTACCACAAACAGCCAGCAACAAAATGGTTCAAAACCACAAACAGGTAGTTGTTGTAAGATTATTTTTTTACTGTTAATATTAAATGGTGGATGGTTGACTCAGAATTACTGTCATAATATATAATGTGATCTGCTCATTATATATAAGGGACGGATTTTTATCAATTTGAAATGGGTTGCATTATTTTTCTGGAACATTAATCAAAAATTAAACAAATCATATCGTTCTTTTTTTGTTACGAGGCAACCATTGGAATATGTGCACACGAAACATTATGACAATAAACATGATAAACATGAGAAATTTAATTGAATGTGGGTATCCCGAACACAATGAATGCAAAACCCGGATCAGTTTATTGACCGTCTTGTTTATAGAGTTTTGAAAAAACAATTTTGAACCTTCTTTGTTAGAAAACAAAGAACCTCACGACAAGACAAGAAGAACAAAAGAAGATGATGATGAAGTTGATGATGACGTTGATGATGATGGTGAAGATGACAAAGATGATGAGGACAATGATGATGGTGAGAATATTTTACCGATGATACATGTAACTTATTCCTAGATCATCCAGTATCACGTGAGTACTTGTGCAGGATTCTCTTTTTATTTACCTGGGTTCTTCCAATAACATTATCTTTAAAAGCAAATGTAGCACAAAATGCTCACCTTTAGTCCATGATGTAAAGTTATAAATCAGAATCATCAATCCTCTACAAAGAAATGCAAAGACAGCATTTCCTAGCTAAGCCATCAACTAAAGTACTACATATTATTTTTTGCTACAACGATGCAGAAAACTTTACAATGCTCTTTTGGAGTTTTCTTTGCTGTTCCTGTGCACTTAAGTTGCAACGTTTGGATTAACAATAAGTGCCATCCTATACATTAAGTTCGCTGCGCTTTCTTAAACGTCAGTGATACAAATATTAAAAACTAACAGACTCAGTCTTGATAAAAATCCAGGCTATGTGGCCTGTAATAAGTGTTAACACTTAAAATGTTTTTCAAGTGGTATTTGCTGTTCATGTAATCATATTGTTGATTAATAAATATATATTTTTCCTTTAGATCTTCCTCCTGTCAAGTGTCAGTACTTATGGGAGTTTCTTCACCACATTTTGCTGCAAAAACAGAACAAGTACCTAGTGTGGAAAAATCAGGCCAAAGGAGTGTTTCGCCTCATTGACCACAATGGTTTGGCACGCCTATGGGGAAAGCAGAAAAACAGAAAAAACATGACATACGAGAAATTAAGCCGCGCACTCAGATACTACTACAGCAAGAACATCCTCCGTAAAGTTCCCGGCCAGAGACTGACATACAAGTTTGTTCACAATCTTAATGGAAAGAAGTATCCATTGTAAGCACAGGACCTAACACTTAATTTTGAATCAGTTGTATTAGAGTCAGATGTGACAAAAAGACAGTGAAGACTTTCCTTTGAGGTTGACAGAATTGTTGGTGTTGGAGATTTAAAGGACAATGATTCACAGCATCTGGCTCTTAACAAGGACTGCACCCTGTTGGACAATGAAATACGTGTTTGTTTCCGCAATTGCGTAGATAGCTGTGTGTGAAGGCTGCCCTGGGCCCCACCCTCCAAGGGAGTGATATTGGGATGCTCTCTATGTCACTTTGAGGACAAGAGACATGGGGCTCATTATACTGCTCGTCACCTATGGCACAACATCCAGCTTCGTTCTGATGGACCAGCATCCCATCAAGGGTGGAGAAATAAGACTCCTAGTAGGTTCATAGAGTCCTGTGATGGACTAGTGTCTTACATTACCAGCGGGAGTGTTTCCTCTCATACCCCCTAGTGGTAATTAACTTTTAAGTTATAACTTAGTTATGGAGTAACATCCCATTCAAAAAGAGCAGTAAAAATCCTCTAGACATGTTTCCATATACCAGGTCACCCCATGGTGGACTAAGGAATTCTGTTGGTCGCTTCATAGTAAACAAACCTGGTTACCCTGTGATCAGCTACATCCATGATGGACCTAACATCCCATCTAGAGAAAAAGTGAAGAGCTATACATTTAAGAGCCTGCAGTATGCCTGGGTTACTTAGTGTCCAGTGCCAAAACTGACCTATAAACATTATTTTGTATTTCAAAGTATCAATTTCCAGGAGATTGCAGATAAGTAACATCTAATGTTGCATCTTGCATTTGCTGAGAATTTTGTCAAGCAGGTGAAATATGATCATTGAAATAATATTGTCATTGGCTGCCAACATCAGTCCAATTCAGGACTACAGACAATCTTGATGGAAAATCACATTTCACGTATTAGTCATGACTCCTGGGTCTGAACCCTTTACAAATATGTTAATCATATGCATGACTGTAAGTTTACCAGGCATTGAGGCACTAATCTATCTGAACTGAACTGGGTCTTGATCAACTGGTTTGTTTTAATAATTATAATAACATTTTTACTGCGTAAAGTGAAAAAGAAATCAATTTGCAAAATGAAAGGTCATTCCAGTGTAAATACATCTCTATTATTTTTCGGTGGAAAATATATTTCTACCTTTAGTTACCTGTATGCCCCTTAAATATCCTGACTATGCGTTTGTAAATAACTAAGAGTAATAAGGAAAGACGTGCCATTAAATGGTTATTATACATACACTGTAAAGTTTGTTTACATTCATTTGGTTAATAAAGGATAAAATTAATAATTGACCCTAGCTTGGTTGATTAAAGAACCGTAATATAGTTAACTAGTCTAAAACTACTATGCAGTAAAACTACAAAGCTGTAATCAGCCCCTGCTGCCAGTGGTGAGCCTCTTATCAGGTCCTTTCTGAAACCTCCAGGTTTGCATTGGAAAATTCTTTTATGGGCTCCCACAAAAAAAGTTACAGGTATGAGGAGCACTAGAGGATATTCTGAATTCCACTGGGCCATAAGGCCAGCAGATTGGAATAATAATTTGTGCCCCTGCCTTCCCCCAGGGGGCTTGTCCTCTAGGACCCCGTCTCTTATACAAGACTAAACCTAAGGAAAAAGCCCTGGGATTTACTATCCCAGACTAACTATGGAACAGAAAACCCAGTTCATGATCATTTGTAATAGGCTCCTGATTTCCCATAAATGATACCCTATTTAATTTATAGTTTTATGAGCTCTTGGTTAGCAGATTTCAGAGTGCTACAGTGTTTTTAACTTGGGGTAGGGGGAGGTAGTGTACTCCCAACCTCATTCCCAGGGCTTTTTCCTTATAAAATGTGAGGGGTGGGAAAAGCCCTGGGGATGAGGTTGGGGTACTCCAGAGTTGGCCCCCCATCTTAAGGTTCCAATGGGAGCCGATTGGTCAACAGGCCATTTCAGAGTTCCCCCGGGCCTCTGTATCAAAACGAGCTTACTGCGCTTTTCACAAAGATACGAATTCTGAAGTTCAAAAGCCAACTGACGATTGCGTTTTTCGCTGCCGTCAATCATCTTAACGGAGCTCTTAGGAAACAAAACTTTACTTTAACAGGTTCAAAAGGTCAAAGTTTGTGATTTGTGATTGGTGGATTTCGATTCGTTTTGTGTGTTTCTGTGTTTCAAGGTTCGTTGCTTGTGATCGTAATTATGATTGACGGCAGCGAAAAACGCAATTGTGAAGGCTGCTTTTGAACGTAAGAGTTAACATGTTTGTGAAAAGCGCAGTAAGTGCTCAGCCTTTGACATGGAAATGATCTTTATTCTTATGCGAATAAAACTCATTTTCACAAGAAAGATTGTGCACTTGGCCTCATTTTAAAAGTGAGAGTTTTTGGAACTTGGAAGCGGCCTATTGCTTACATGACGTCTGGTCTTCTTGTGGTTAGTCTGGTTAGATTGCAGGTTCACGGTTAATCGGTAATCCGTGCATCCTATACGCTAGTCTATTGGTGGATTTCGATCCGTTTTGTGTGTTTCTGTGTTTCAAGGTTCGTTGCTTGTGATCGTAATTATGATTGACGGCAGCGAAAAACGCAATTGTGAAGGCTGCTTTTGAACTTAAGAGTTAACATGTTTGTGAAAAGCGCAGTAAGTGCTCAGCCTTTGACATGGAAATGATCTGTATTCTTATGCGAATAAAACTCATTTTCACAAGAAAGATTGTGCACTTGGCCTCATTTTGAAAGTGAGAGTTTTTGGAACTTGGAAGCGGCCTATTGCTTACATGACGTCTGGTCTTCTTGTGGTTAGTCTGGTTAGATTGCAGGTTCACGGTTAATCGGTAATCCGTGCATCCTATACGCTAGTCTACAGAAACTTGTTCTTACACTGTAAATGGTTTAAAAAATACATGTATAATGCTTAACTGAATTGGGCTTCTTATGGTAAGCACACTTTTCCAAAGGATAGGCCACTTGCACTAAGAGGTCACGTGACCAATGCTTCCTTTAAACAATGAGTGGGAATCTTGCTTATGCCAAAAATTGACAGAGCACATAAAAATTATCTTAGACCCGAAATTTGAGAGGAAACTCATTTAAGGCAGATATTTTATGGCACTTCGATTTTTCAACAGGGTAGTATGATTCTCGCGAAGCGAGTTTATAATCTCGTCGCGCGCGAAGCTCGCGCGCATCACATGAGCCGCGCGTGGTCTTAGCCAGATGCAAAATTGGATGCCCCATCTTTCTTTCTTTGAATATATATCTTAAGGCTGGTTTTCACTTGCGACGGAGTCGGAGTCGGAGTCGTAATCAGAAGCGTAAAGCTTATGATCTAGTGAAAACAGCTTTCCGATTCCGTTCACGACTCCGTCGCTTACGTTCCGCTTATGATCTTGTGAAAACCAGATTGTCGTGGTCAGAAGCGGAAGCGGAAGAACTAAGCCAATCACAAAGTGTGACAACGTGTATTGTGATTGGTTTATCCTTCCGCTTCTTCTTCCGACTCCGACAATCTAGNATGTAGTGATGTGTAGTGATGGGTAGTGATATGTAGTGATGTATAGTGATGGGTAGTGATGCATAGTTATGGATAGTGATGGATAGTGATGTGTAGTGATGGATAGTGATGTGTAGTGATGGATAGTGATGTGTAGTGATGGATAGTGATGTGTAGTGCTAGGTAGTGATGGGTAGTGATATGTAGTGATGTGTAGTGATGGGTAGTGATACATAGTTATGTTGAGTGATAGGTAGTGATGTGTAGTGATGGGTAGTGATGCATAGTTATGTTGAGTGACACATAGTTACATGTTACATGAAGGTATTTTAGTTGGATTTTTTATATTCGTGTAGGAGAACACGGATTTATTACCATTTTGACACTTGGGACGAATATTTGTACTGGTACTACGTTGTTTAACCGGTTTCACAAAAATATATAACTCCAAGTACTTGTCTATTTGTAAAACTGTATTGTTCCGGTTCATTTTTTGTTCATTATTCAGTAATGCAAAACAACGTAAGCAAAGAGGACTTCATTTGACAAGCTCAACTGGTGAAATGTTCTTTTTCGCTCTCGGTGTTTTCACCGCATCTTGGGCCAGAAAAAAAGATGAGGACGACATCCCAAACAACCAAAATCTGTGGATTTTTGGCTATGGGTCATTAATATGGAAGGCGAACTTTCCTTTTGTGCGGAAAGTGGTTGGATTTATAGAAGGATACGAACGTCGGTTTTACCAAGGGAGTAGCGACCATCGAGGGATTCCCGAAAAGGTGAGCTTTAGCTTATCAAAGACAAATTAAGCCATGATTAAGCTTATCTGGAACTGTGTCCAGAAATTATTGCAAGGAGAACTCCAACTTATACGTACGTTTCTCGAACTAGAACCTCACGAAACTTTAAGAAAGGGCCTACGGCGGGAAATAACATAAAAAGAGCCAAGAAAATAAAAAGAAGGGGGATCGCATTTCTACAGTTTCTTAATATTTTCAAAGCCGGTAAAAAGAGTCCCGAACAAATGCATGACAATATATCTTACCTTCTCGATCAAGCATTTTCAATAATTGATTCACGATTCGGTTTCACGAAAGTATAACTCCAAGACATCTGTAAACTGTGAGAAAAGTTCTCATTAAACATGATTAAAGCGCCAAGGATGAACTCAAGCTTACTGTTTTGTGCATTGGAGTAGGGTACTCCTGCGAATTCTTGGTGGGGGTATGCAGGCCGGTTATCCAAATTCTGTCCCTATTTGAGACCAAAAATGTCATTTTTCTACAACCATTTTCAGACCTGACCTCTAAGAAATTATTTTATTATTACTTTCTTTCCTATTCATTTGGAACTGAAACAACAAATACATTCATACATTACCAGGGCTGTCAAAAAGTTTCTAAGTAGGAGGCTGATAATGAATAGTAGGCGGCTTTGGAACTCGCACCAAAGGAACAAGTTCGTGAGGGCCAAGGCAGCTAGGGACATTTTGACATATAGAGTCACAGAAATAGCATTTCCAGGGGTTTTCAAGAGGCATTTTCCACCGCAGACACCATGTTGTTTCGTCAGAATACACACAGGACTAGGAACAATGCCATCCGGCGGAAATGTCTCAGGCGTTCTAAGACATCGCACAGTTTACATGTTTCACAGATCTAAACTTTGAATGTGCATTCAGTGGCATTCAGCATTCAAAAGTGGGAAACGGTATTTTATTTGATGGTGGAGATGAAAGTAATCTGCTAAGGATGGCTAACTAGCCGGCAGTTTTGGCTGGTTACCAGCCCTTATTGACAACCCTGCACTACCCTAGTTCCCTCCAAAACAATTCCCGATTCTAGACCAAAATCGGCAAACTCTATACCCATTTTCAGACCATAACGGCGCAAAAAGCATAGTCCCTTTGGGGCGGCACCTATATGGCTTATATTGTTATCCCTCAAGCCCGAATGGGCTATTGACTCAGGGGCCATGAGGGCGAGAGAAATAATTGTTTTAGTAAAATCCAACTAGCTGGTCAAAAATATCGAGACAAAACAACTTTAGCTGGTTAAAGCTAGACTTTAATCCTTTTTTTACCCCCAAAAAGCCAGCACTTTCACTACTAGTGGGCTATAACATATAGCCTAGTAGTAGGTCAACCAATCAGAACGTAGCATTGATAATAGACCACTAGCTGGATTTTACTAAAAGGGAGTATCCACCATCTGGGATTCCATCCCATAATGGTCATCCCTCACCATTTAAGATTGGCAACATTTATGGCAAAATTTTGAACTTCCCTTTTCTTGGCTTGAATTGTGAATAAACAATTAATAAAATTCCTGAAAATAATTGTTTTGTCAACATGGTTATAATTATGGGGTTCCCTGCTAGCAGAGGTTTCTCACGAAGACGCAAAAAACTGCTAGCCGGGAAGATTTTGGGCCAATAATAATTTTAAAAAATAATGCATGCAGTGACCTTTGTTTTGCCTTCTTTTTTGAAAGCCATTCATTTTGTATCTGTGGAAAAAAGTCTGCAGAAATCTGGTGAAATGAATGAAATCACACAATGATCCTTATATTTAACTCAACTGACAGACCCAATATTTTTCTCACTTCTCATCCCTGTACCAGTTCCTTTTTTTCATTTAACGTTTATCCATTTGCCATTTTCTTTTTCAGCCTGGAAGGGTAGTTACCCTCCTTGAAAATCCCAAGGTGAGTTTCTCTGTTCAAATAAGTAAAATGCATCAGCTGAAATTAAGTGGAAGTCATTTGAGTGGAAAAACAAACAAACAAACAAAATATAAGGACATAGAAAAAATCAAGGGAGGGGACTAAACTAAGTTTTCAAGATTTAGTGTTGTTTTGTCAGGACTATGATGTAGTCACAAAGTTTCAGGTGGTATTAGTTTTTAGGATTTAGATAATGAAATTCGAATTTTTTGTGAATTTTTTCTTTGGTAACCTCTAGAAGTGAAAGGATCAAGTTCTTTCTTATTTTCTCACAAAAATCCAAGGCATACATCTGTTTCCAAAAAAAAAACATCTCTGTGGTAATTGCGCTTTCATTTCACCTATACAGACACTTGGCTTTCCTCTGGTAAATTAGTAGATTTTCCTTTGGCAAGCGTTTTTTAGGCCATAAAGTTTTCACCTAGTCCTTTTTATTGTCAAGTTCAAAATCCAACATTAAGGCCGTGTTCACACTATATACGAGATAGCTTTTTGTGCTGACATAAAAAAACTGTGCGGTATAGTATAAACTCCTATCCAATATTTGAATCTCTGCTTAAGAGATTGGTGTGATGCAGCTTTGCTCCATTTAATACAGAAATAGCGCCAAAATCACCTTTCTTATGTCAGAACTGATGTGGTATAGTTTTCTTGCCAGTGCAAAAGCTATCTATCCTGTATGGTGTGATCATAAGCTAAATCTTTCTGCATACATTTTTGTGGTTTCAGGAGAAAGTTTGGGGAATTGCTTATGAAATCACGTCAAAAGACATTCCTGAGGTACTTGAGTACCTTGACTTTCGCGAAAAGAATGGCTACAAAGCCTCATGGGTCAGATTCCATCCAAAGAATGCTGAGCATCAAGCTTTTCAAGCAAAGCTGTACATTGCCACTCCTCAAAATGAATTTTACCTTGGCCCTGCACCACTGCCTGAGATTGCAGAACAAATTTTGACTTCAAAAGGACCTAGCGGAACAAATTATGAGTACCTGATGAATCTTGCTCAAGCAGTGCACAATCTTAGTGCAGAGATTGAGGATGATCATCTCTTTCAGTTGGAAACCCTTGTCAAGAGTGGTTTATCAAAAACTGCCTAGTGTAGAGTAGGGTATATCATTATATAGGCAGTGATTTTGTTACAAATAGTTATGGTGAGTCCTGGGACTCATCTTGTGAAAAATCATGTGTTCCACTCCAGAAACATTGAGTCCAAGTTAAACAAAAAAACAGTCTGGAATTGAAAATGCCTGGGCCTTTATGTAACCAAACAGTTAATCTGAAGTCAGACTCCAAAACTCTGTATTACAGTATACTGAAATTAAAATATAAACCTTCTATTTAAAAGCACAACAAAGACTAAAAGAAATTTACATTGTTGAACAACAGCCATAAACTGTCACAGAAACTACACAAACGGGATATTTCTACAAATAAACATGTTCAGATCGATCGCTCAATCTTTGCATCCTACGGGACGCATGCCATGAATAAAATAATTATCTTGTGTCTTTGGGGATTTTTATGCATCAGGGATGCAGGATACAGAGTTAACAAATCACTGTATGAGAGGTTAAACAGTGATATGAAGAAAAATAGTTTTTGCCTTTAGAAATTAGCAATATTTATTGTCAGGGCTGTCATTTAAGGCAGGACAGGGCTGGTGGCCAGGGATTTTCTTTGGCTACCATGATCATGACTCCAAGCTACATGGAAAATAGAACCATATGAACCTCCTTCAGCTGTTCATTTCCCCACCTACTAATTGCAGATACCTGACAACTTAAAAGCTACTTTCTTGTTTGGAATATAGCAGTTATTATTTTCTAATACCAGATTTTTAACAATTTGTGTATTTTTAAAACTGCTGGTCAAATCTGAGCAGTTTCCTGTTATTGTTTTTTTTGTAGGGTATATTTATAAAGACCAGGTCCATTTGTTTTAGAATATTATTAGGTATTTAAAAATGACATTGTACAACACCTCTAGCTTCAGTCAACTCCTGTTATTATGGAGCCCCCTTTGGGACTGCAGGTTATTTGTAGTGATGGATGGTGATGTGTAGTGATGGATAGTGATGTGTAGTGATGGATAGTGATGTGTAGTGATGGATAGTGATGTCTAGTGATCGACAGTGATGTGTAGTGATGGATAGTGATGTGTAGTGATGGATAATGATGTGTAGTTATGGACAGTGATGTGCAGTGATGAATAGTGATGTGTAGTGATGGACAGTGATGGGTAGTAATGGACAGTGATGTGTAGTGATGGATGGTAATGTGTAGTGATGGACAGTGATGTGTAGTGATGGACAGTGATGTGTAGTGATGGACAGTGATGTGTAGTAACGGATAGTGATGTGTATTGTTGGACAGTGACGTGCAATGGTGGACAGTGATGTGTAGTGATGGATAGTGATGGGTAGTGATGGATAATGATGTGTAGTCATGGGTAGGGATGGATAGTGATGGGTAGTGATGGATAGTGATGTTTAATGATGGGAAGTGATGGATAGTGATGGGTAATGATGGATAGTGATGGGTAGTGATGGATAATGATGTGTAGTCATGGGTAGTGATGGATAGTGATGTGTAGTGATGGGTAGTGATGGACAGTGATGTGTAGTGATGCAGAGTGATGGATAGTGATGTGTAGTGATGGGTAGTGATGGACAGTGATGTGTAGTGATGGATAGTGATGTGTAGCGATGGGTAGTGATGGATAGTGATGTTTAGTGATGGGAAGTGATGGATAGTGATGGACAGTGATGTGTAGTGATGCACAGTGATGGGTAGTGATGTGTAGTGATGGGTAGTGATGGATAGTGATGGACAGTGATGGATAGTGATGGACAGTGATGGATAGTGATGTGTAGTTATGGATAGTGATGTGCAGTAATGGACAGTGATGAGCAGTGATGAATAGTGATGTGTAGTGATGGACAGTGATGGGTAGTAATGGACAGTGATGTGTAGTGATGGATAGTAATGTGTAGTGAGGGATAGTTATGTGCAGTGATGGACAGTGATGTGTAGTAATGGACAGTGATGTGTAGTAATGGATAGTGATGTGTAGAGATGGATAATGATGTGTAGTAATGGATAGTGATGTGTAGTGGTGGACAGTGACGTGCAGTGGTGGACAGTGATATGTAGTGATGGGTAGTGATGGGTAGTGATGGATAATGATGTGTAGTCATGGGTGGTGATGGATAGTGATGGGTAGTGATGTGTAGGGATGGGCAGTGATGGATAGTGATGTTTAGTGATGGGTAGTGATGGATAGTGATGGATAGTGATGGGTAGTGATGTGTAATGATGGATAGTGATGGGTAGTGATGGACAGTGATGTGTAGTGATGCAGAGTGATGAGTAGTGATGTGTAGTGATGGGTAGTGATTGATAGTGATGTGTAATGATGGATAGTGATGGATAGTGATGGACAGTGATGTGTAGTGATGCAGAGTGATGAGTAGTGATGTGTAGTGATGGGTAGTGATGGATAGTGATGTGTAATGATGGATAGTGATGGGTAGTGATGGACAGTGATGTGTATTGATGCAGAGTGATGGGTAGTGATGTGTAGTGATGGGTAGTGATGCATAGTTATGTTGAGTGACACATAGTTACATGTTACATGAAGGTATTTTAGTTGGATTTTTTATATTCGTGTAGGAGAACACGGATTTATTACCATTTTGACACTTGGGACGAATATTTGTACTGGTACTACGTTGTTTAACCGGTTTCACAAAAATATATAACTCCAAGTACTTGTCTATTTGTAAAACTGTATTGTTCCGGTTCATTTTTTGTTCATTATTCAGTAATGCAAAACAACGTAAGCAAAGAGGACTTCATTTGACAAGCTCAACTGGTGAAATGTTCTTTTTCGCTCTCGGTGTTTTCACCGCATCTTGGGCCAGAAAAAAAGATGAGGACGACATCCCAAACAACCAAAATCTGTGGATTTTTGGCTATGGGTCATTAATATGGAAGGCGAACTTTCCTTTTGTGCGGAAAGTGGTTGGATTTATAGAAGGATACGAACGTCGGTTTTACCAAGGGAGTAGCGACCATCGAGGGATTCCCGAAAAGGTGAGCTTTAGCTTATCAAAGACAAATTAAGCTTATCTGGAACTGTGTCCAGAAATTATTGCAAGGAGAACTCCAACTTATACGTACGTTTCTCGAACTAGAACCTCACGAAACTTTAAGAAAGGGCCTACGGCGGGAAATAACATAAAAAGAGCCAAGAAAATAAAAAGAAGGGGGATCGCATTTCTACAGTTTCTTAATATTTTCAAAGCCGGTAAAAAGAGTCCCGAACAAATGCATGACAATATATCTTACCTTCTCGATCAAGCATTTTCAATAATTGATTCACGATTCGGTTTCACGAAAGTATAACTCCAAGACATCTGTAAACTGTGAGAAAAGTTCTCATTAAACATGATTAAAGCGCCAAGGATGAACTCAAGCTTACTGTTTTGTGCATTGGAGTAGGGTACTCCTGCGAATTCTTGGTGGGGGTATGCCGGCCGGTTATCCAAATTCTGTCCCTATTTGAGACCAAAAATGTCATTTTTCTACAACCATTTTCAGACCTGACCTCTAAGAAATTATTTTATTATTACTTTCTTTCCTATTCATTTGGAACTGAAACAACAAATACATTCATACATTACCAGGGCTGTCAAAAAGTTTCTAAGTAGGAGGCTGATAATGAATAGTAGGCGGCTTTGGAACTCGCACCAAAGGAACAAGTTCGTGAGGGCCAAGGCAGCTAGGGACACTTTGACATATAGAGTCACAGAAATAGCATTTCCAGGGGTTTTCAAGAGGCATTTTCCACCGCAGACACCATGTTGTTTCGTCAGAATACACACAGGACTAGGAACAATGCCATCCGGCGGAAATGTCTCAGGCGTTCTAAGACATCGCACAGTTTACATGTTTCACAGATCTAAACTTTGAATGTGCATTCAGTGGCATTCAGCATTCAAAAGTGGGAAACGGTATTTTATTTGATGGTGGAGATGAAAGTAATCTGCTAAGGATGGCTAACTAGCCGGCAGTTTTGGCTGGTTACCAGCCCTTATTGACAACCCTGCACTACCCTAGTTCCCTCCAAAACAATTCGCGATTCTAGACCAAAATCGGCAAACTCTATACCCATTTTCAGACCATAACGGCGCAAAAAGCATAGTCCCTTTGGGGCGGCACCTATATGGCTTATATTGTTATCCCTCAAGCCCGAATGGGCTATTGACTCAGGGGCCATGAGGGCGAGAGAAATAATTGTTTTAGTAAAATCCAACTAGCTGGTCAAAAATATCGAGACAAAACAACTTTAGCTGGTTAAAGCTAGACTTTAATCCTTTTTTTACCCCCAAAAAGCCAGCACTTTCACTACTAGTGGGCTATAACATATAGCCTAGTAGTAGGTCAACCAATCAGAACGTAGCATTGATAATAGACCACTAGCTGGATTTTACTAAAAGGGAGTATCCACCATCTGGGATTCCATCCCATAATGGTCATCCCTCACCATTTAAGATTGGCAACATTTATGGCAAAATTTTGAACTTCCCTTTTCTTGGCTTGAATTGTGAATAAACAATTAATAAAATTCCTGAAAATAATTGTTTTGTCAACATGGTTATAATTATGGGGTTCCCTGCTAGCAGAGGTTTCTCACGAAGACGCAAAAAACTGCTAGCCGGGAAGATTTTGGGCCAATAATAATTTTAAAAAATAATGCATGCAGTGACCTTTGTTTTGCCTTCTTTTTTGAAAGCCATTCATTTTGTATCTGTGGAAAAAAGTCTGCAGAAATCTGGTGAAATGAATGAAATCTCACAATGATCCTTATATTTAACTCAACTGACAGACCCAATATTTTTCTCACTTCTCATTCCTGTACCAGTTCCTTTTTTTCATTTAACGTTTATCCATTTGCAATTTTCTTTTTCAGCCTGGAAGGGTAGTTACCCTCCTTGAAAATCCCAAGGTGAGATTCTCTGTTCAAATAAGTAAAATGCATCAGCTGAAATTAAGTGGAAGTCATTTGAGTGGAAAAACAAACAAACAAACAAAATATAAGGACATAGAAAAAATCAAGGGAGGGGACTAAACTAAGTTTTCAAGATTTAGTGTTGTTTTGTCAGGACTATGATGTAGTCACAAAGTTTCAGGTGGTATTAGTTTTTAGGATTTAGATAATGAAATTCGAATTTTTTGTGAATTTTTTCTTTGGTAACCTCTAGAAGTGAAAGGATCAAGTTCTTTCTTATTTTCTCACAAAAATCCAAGGCATACATCTGTTTCCAAAAAAAAAACATCTCTGTGGTAATTGCGCTTTCATTTCACCTATACAGACACTTGGCTTTCCTCTGGTAAATTAGTAGATTTTCCTTTGGCAAGCGTTTTTTAGGCCATAAAGTTTTCACCTAGTCCTTTTTATTGTCAAGTTCAAAATCCAACATTAAGGCCGTGTTCACACTATATACGAGATAGCTTTTTGTGCTGACATAAAAAAACTGTGCGGTATAGTATAAACTCCTATCCAATATTTGAATCTCTGCTTAAGAGATTGGTGTGATGCAGCTTTGCTCCATTTAATACAGAAATAGCGCCAAAATCACCTTTCTTATGTCAGAACTGATGTGGTATAGTTTTCTTGCCAGTGCAAAAGCTATCTATCCTGTATGGTGTGATCATAAGCTAAATCTTTCTGCATACATTTTTGTGGTTTCAGGAGAAAGTTTGGGGAATTGCTTATGAAATCACGTCAAAAGACATTCCTGAGGTACTTGAGTACCTTGACTTTCGCGAAAAGAATGGCTACAAAGCCTCATGGGTCAGATTCCATCCAAAGAATGCTGAGCATCAAGCTTTTCAAGCAAAGCTGTACATTGCCACTCCTCAAAATGAATTTTACCTTGGCCCTGCACCACTGCCTGAGATTGCAGAACAAATTTTGACTTCAAAAGGACCTAGCGGAACAAATTATGAGTACCTGATGAATCTTGCTCAAGCAGTGCACAATCTTAGTGCAGAGATTGAGGATGATCATCTCTTTCAGTTGGAAACCCTTGTCAAGAGTGGTTTATCAAAAACTGCCTAGTGTAGAGTAGGGTATATCATTATATAGGCAGTGATTTTGTTACAAATAGTTATGGTGAGTCCTGGGACTCATCTTGTGAAAAATCATGTGTTCCACTCCAGAAACATTGAGTCCAAGTTAAACAAAAAAACAGTCTGGAATTGAAAATGCCTGGGCCTTTATGTAACCAAACAGTTAATCTGAAGTCAGACTCCAAAACTCTGTATTACAGTATACTGAAATTAAAATATAAACCTTCTATTTAAAAGCACAACAAAGACTAAAAGAAATTTACATTGTTGAACAACAGCCATAAACTGTCACAGAAACTACACAAACGGGATATTTCTACAAATAAACATGTTCAGATCGATCGCTCAATCTTTGCATCCTACGGGACGCATGCCATGAATAAAATAATTATCTTGTGTCTTTGGGGATTTTTATGCATCAGGGATGCAGGATACAGAGTTAACAAATCACTGTATGAGAGGTTAAACAGTGATATGAAGAAAAATAGTTTTTGCCTTTAGAAATTAGCAATATTTATTGTCAGGGCTGTCATTTAAGGCAGGACAGGGCTGGTGGCCAGGGATTTTCTTTGGCTACCATGATCATGACTCCAAGCTACATGGAAAATAGAACCATATGAACCTCCTTCAGCTGTTCATTTCCCCACCTACTAATTGCAGATACCTGACAACTTAAAAGCTACTTTCTTGTTTGGAATATAGCAGTTATTATTTTCTAATACCAGATTTTTAACAATTTGTGTATTTTTAAAACTGCTGGTCAAATCTGAGCAGTTTCCTGTTATTGTTTTTTTTGTAGGGTATATTTATAAAGACCAGGTCCATTTGTTTTAGAATATTATTAGGTATTTAAAAATGACATTGTACAACACCTCTAGCTTCAGTCAACTCCTGTTATTATGGAGCCCCCTTTGGGACTGCAGGTTAATCCCTTAGCGATAAAGTAGCCTGTTGGAGGTATTCAGATAGTAGGAAGAGGCCTAAAGTAAAAAAAAATCGAGGAAAAATAGAGGGAATCATTTTTTTGCCCTCCCCGCCTTTTTACTTTAAGCGATGGCCCTACTATCTGAACGCCTGGAACAGGCTAGTTCATAATAATGGGGTATTTATTTTCCATTCAATGATATTAGACGGAAAAATTCTGTAAATTTATAAATATCACAGCCAAACTTGTCAGGATTTAAAAATTAAATACCAGTAGATCAACTGGTATAAAATTTAAATACCAGTAGGTTAGTTTGAACTTTGTACTGGATCCTTAATTTCTTTTTTAGGCTGATATGCCCGTGGAAGTGCCCTAAACTCTTATGTCACTTTACTACTCTCCTAATCTTTTGAACTCAAAGATGGTGGCTACAAACTCAGAAAATCCTGAGTACTCACTTGCCAAAGCAATATAGGTGGGTAATGGATTGGGGGTTTGGGGCTTGGAAGGGAAAAGAGAAGGAGAGACTTACTGGGCTTAGCTCCTGCACGTTTTTCTTCCCATCTCCTCCCTAGACTCGATTTCCGCTACTCCAGAGACTAGTTGTAACACTATTTTACATACACAACCAAATTATCGGGCAATTATTTAGGTTTCTGGGAAATTGTCCACCTACCCCTCCCCTAACTCAACCTTAACACTTACTTCTCACTTAGGGCAAAATGTTGGCTTAGGGAAGGGGTAGGTGAGCAATGAGGGTGCAATGCCACCTGAAGTCCCTTTTTTTCCAGAGAGGGAGCTCAAGATTAAAGTTGGTGGACTATATTTCACCCCTTGATCCAAGGAAACTCTCCAATACTCCTGCTGGTATTCCAAGAAATGACCCTCATTTTTTAAAAACAATATTAAGGACTAAGACCCCACATTTTAAGGGAGGTAATAGGCTCAATTACCAGCTACTGTTCAGGAAAAATGAGCCCACTATTAACATTGACAAAGATACTTCTGGGTCCTTGAAAGTCCCAAACCTTTTGGGCCTGTTATCAAGTATCTAAATCAAAATATAGAGAATAAATGCACAGCTCCAGGTAGCTAACGTACCAGTCAATTTTGTGTTTTTTTAACTGATAATTTTATTATACTATTGGGAAAACTATTGAAAAAGTCGGCACCAGGTAAACCTTTCTTAAAGTCCACAACCCCACAACCCCGCTCCCCCCTACCAACTTGAAAAGAGGTGGATAACCTGAGATCAGGCGTTATTTTATTTTATTTTATTTTATTTTTTGCTTCTTTGTTTCTTTGGGATAATAGGGAGAGGGCATGATCTCAGGCTAAGAGGTGGATCGCCCCCCGCACTTTGAAAACTGCTCCGGGGGCCCTGTAAATAAGACAATTAACTTGGGTGGTGTAGGAATTTTTGTGGCTGGGGAGAGGCACAGGTGAAACTTTCACTAACTTTCACAAGTTGGTCGTCTTGTTCAAGAGGAAAAGACTGTAAAAAAGTGAAAAATGAAGTGAAAAAAAGGCACACTGAGTAGGCCATCACCCTGCTAATAGATTATGTTAGAGATGTAATACATTATTAAGTGGCAAATAAAAGATTTCCGATGAATTAAATTATAGGTTGACTTTAGGAGTTCGGACAGTATACTTAACATTTTTGACGATCAGCTGATATGATCTTATTTGGTCAGTCTCCCGATGGTCTTCCTACGAATTTCTGATTGGATAATTTGCGTACTTTGTAATTTGATTGGTGCAGAGTTCATTTCGAAACCCTTGATGCTGGTCACGAGACTTTGTCACGGGACTTCTGTCACGGGATTTTGCCGCTCACTCAATTGAAATTGTATATTTTTGGTGGTTTGCGGAGTCGAACGCTGAGAATTCGTGTGTTGTGGCCTGAAACATCTGGATTAGCTTGAGAAGAAGTCTCTGTTGGCTTTAAAAAGTTTTTCGATGAGTAAATACAAGTGTAAATGTTTAAATATCACTATACACGTCAAAGAAAAAGCTACTCGCGAGACGGACGGTAAAGCGTTTGTTTCATCTCCCGAGAAAACAGCTTTCTTCCTGCTAGATCTCTCCGAAGTCGAATTAGCAGTTGGTGGAATAACGAAGGTAACTTTTAATTCTTCAGTATTTGCTCTATAAGAGCAGTTCTTAGGGCCACGTCGACACTAAGTTGATACAGAAAGTTAAAGGCGATGCGATCCTGTGATCGTATGGGCTGACAGAGGCAAAGCGCGCCAAATCTTGGCGGGTTTTTACTGAAGTTCTGATTCTTTATTTGTAATTATTGTTCTTGATTTCTTAGTTCTTTGTAATTTGATTTTTAAAAGTTCCTCAAACATTTCTCTGATTGCATCAGATTCGACATGTCCTATATCATGGTTTACCTGACAAGGTGCCTCGTCGATTGGAGCTTAGTGCTTATTTAACTTTTGACAGCTGCAAGCTAACGAAAATTAAAGGGAGCTTAAATTTACCCTAGTTTTCCAGACTACAGGTTCGAAGCTTACATTTTGTACAATGTAGCTCAAAGCGAGGAATAGTGTTAGAGAAAACAATGAGGAAAGTCCTTTCATCTCAGAATACAGATCCTTTTTCAATATTTTGTCGTTATTTATAGGCGACCTTTGACATCTTTGCCCATACCTTTTTCCTTTTTGACTGCTTTAGGAAGTCGGAAGTCTTGTTAAAGAAACCAGAATCGAAGACTGGGATATCTTCACTTGCATTAATTGTGGCA